GGGGGGGTTTACCTATTAAAACTAACGTTAACTCTGGTGTGTTGGTGTCTATTTTATCTTTTTGCGTAAGCCTGCAGGTGTTTTATTGCTGGTGGAAAATGCAAAGGATTTATTCAGTTTGTTTGTCTTCATGTCTGGGAGCAATGGAACGAGTCAAATATCGAAAGAATGGAAAAGTGAAAAAAATGTGTGTGGTTTAAAAAAAAAGAAAAAGAGGGGGGAGGGGGCGGTTAAGAGAGGAAAACGAAAGCTAAGAGAACATAATACTTGAAAAATGAAGATAATGTGAGCGTTGGTACAGTAACATCCTGGCTGGTGTGGCGGAACAGCACACGAGAATGCCAACTTCTTTTAGAAAACGTGTTTACACAGCAATGATTGGATATTAGTGTAAAGCCTGAACTCTAGAAAGAAGAGGTTTAGGAGAAAGGGAGAGGGGTGGAGGAGAAAGCAGCGTAGAGTAAAGATAGAATGTGTGAAAATAACAGAGGATATTCAAAAACGAAGAATTCGAGAACTGACTGAAAAGAATTTGTGAAATTACAGAGCAACTCAGTCAACATAAAGCCGGGAAGGACATCATGAGTGCTAACCAGTGGGGAGGGGTGTAAAGTTCTATGCATCATAAGAGAAGTATCTAAAGAACAATAAATGTTAATTCCAATACGTGTTAGAGAACGTGTCTCTATCAGACCCTAATTCGGCAATAAGACTTTTTAAGAAAAAAAAGGACAGCCAACTCAACTGTCAGATCATTAAAATCGGGGCAATTGTAAAAATGACAAGGGCAAATAGTAAAAGTTGTCATTTTTACAATTGCTCAGATTTTAATGGTCTCGCATATCTTCACTGCTCTCTCAACCCCGGATTTATGCAACAGCTATCTGTATTCGTGTTGGTTCTTTTCTTGTGGGTGTGACAGACAAATGGAAAAAAAAATCGGTTATCGAGCTGTCAACAAATGTTGAACTTTCAATATTGACAACGGCTGGCGGATTTTGTCTTTCTTGAGTCAACAAAGAAACAATGTGGCAGCACAAAAGACTCGCTGCCATTTTGAGTGGTTCAAAAATAAATGTTACATGAACACGAAGGGCAAGGATTGAACGTATTATCGGTGTCCATGAACAGGATAGCCCTGAAGTCGAGTCACACTGACCATTAAAATGATGAGTTTGGACTTTGCAGGTTTAGTGGACAAATTCAACAAACAAAGAAGTCTTTAAAAAAAACCACTGTTTTGACTTCGTTAGTTCTAGTCGATCGACCATTTCGGATTAAATGCACGGACGTATGTTTTCGAAGAAGTGGAGTTTGTTAAAAATAGAGCAACTACTCGTAGATTGTTTTACACTTGTCCTTCGTGGTAATTTTCGAAGGTCGTTCAAAGGTAACGCTAGAGCCAAATTTTGTTACTTTAAGCTGGAAACGAAAGAAAACATTTGCACCCGAGACACTTAACAAACAATATAGATCTTTTCATCTGTAAGGTGACTAATTTTGGTGGATGGCTGGCGGGTGCTCTAGTGTTGTTTGCTCCTTCCTTCCAATCAAACATCGATCGTCCTTAACGTTCCTCCTCCTTTTTTTGTGTATTTTATTAGCATAGCATGTCCACCTCAAAAACATCGTAGATCTAATTGTTTTGTGAATAACTTGTAATTCCATTTACCTTATGCCTTAAGACTTACTTTCCTGATTTGTCTTGTTGAGCAATATTTTGAAAAATAGTTATAGGTTGATGTAAAACGGCACTTCTCTCCGACACGTGTGGCCTTTTTCTTTTCGTCCAGTTGAGGTTAGAAACAAATATATTTTGTGTACTGTTCTGGATCATATTTCATGGGTTGACGGATTCTCAATCAAATTTCCAGAAGGAAACTATATGTAATACAGACCATTGTACATGGTTATTATGACGACACAGTCTGTGAGTAGGTCAGGCGTGCCGAAAGATATGATACTTTCTTTGTAATAAAATACTGACGCAACTATGAGATGTATTTGGCATTAGTGCTGAAAACCACAGGCACGAACAGCATGAGGTAAAATGGTGGCTCCTGTGGCTGCTTTCCAGGTCTGCCGAGCATGTGAAACTTATCAGCAATAACTGTGACTTATTTGAAAAACCGCATCAATTTTTCATAATAGTCTTTAACTTACTTCTTTGTTTCAAACTAGAAAACTCCCTCTGATTACATGA